GGGCTGTCGGGAGTGGTTGCGTTCCGGTGCCCGATGGGCCAGCAGGCACATAAAAATCACATTAGGCACAGATGTTGGGAATGAAGCCGTCACCTGCGTGTTTTCACGCCACAAAATCGCCTAGAACTTAAGTTCAAGTGAGGCTCTGCGGAGACCTTATTGCAGCCTTCCAGTACCTGAAGGGGGCCTACCAGAAAACCGGGGGGGACACACGCTTTTTCCAAGGGCCTGTAGTGACAGGACAAGGGGTAACGGGTTTAAATTGAAAGTGAGGAGGTTTAGATTAGATATCAGGAAGAAGCTCTTCCCGGAGAGGGTGGGGAGGCACTGGGACAGGTTGCCCAGAGAAGCTGTGGATGCCCCATCCCTGCAAGGGTTGGAGGAGGCCTGGAGCAACCTGGTCTAGTGGAAGGGGTCCCTGCCCATGTCAGCGGGGTTGGAACTAATTATCTTTAAGGTCCCTTCTAACACAAACCATTCTGTGATTCTACGGTTATCCATAGTAATAGGTCCTGTCATGAATTTTATGTTGCTGCTCAGAGGTCTTCTGAGCCACAAGATGTGCCCAACTGGGTTGAGTTTTCCTTCAATTTTCAATTTCCTTCTGCTTGGGATGTGAGAACTGAAGAATGAATAAACTGGAAATTAAAAATGACTGGAGGAAAAGGGTCAGAAGCAGAAGGGAGGTTTTGGAGGGGTTTTGGTATCTGTAGCAGTAGCTCTGAAAGGTGGTTTCACTGTGAATGTGGATTACAAGGCAGGTCTCCTCTGTATGCTACTGATACCTAAGTGTCATCTCCAAGAAAATAATTATTCACTGCTATTCAGAAATCTTAGGAGACCATTTTTCTTACCTTCTCTGAAACTAAAGCCTTTCCTGTGCTTTCCAGCAGAGAGGTTCAAACTGTGTATTAGATGTTGGCTGTGTAGTAGCTGCCATAGATGATTCCTTGAAACAAGGTACAGGGGTTAAAATGTTCCCTTACAACAAGATAAGATGTGGATTTGAGCTTCATGTCATGTTACTGTCCCACCCCGACATGCTTTTAAAGGCCTTCTGCAGATTGTGCTTTCAGCTAGTAGGTAACTTCTCAGTGCGTGGATCTGGGCTGTTAAAAGGCTGCGAAGTTACACTGTGGAGATACTCTAGCATTAATGATTTTGTGATGTGCAGCAGCCAGGCTATTTTTGGAGTTTGCTGAGTAGCCCAGTTTAGTGGTGCATTGATCAATATGCTCCTATTTCAGATTCTGATTAGCAGCTCCATCCGCACCACTGATGCTTTCATAGAATCATGGAATGGTTTGGGACCTTAAGGATCATCCAATTCCAACCCCCCTGCCATGGGCAGGGACACCTTCCATAGACCAGGTTGCTCCAAGCCTCATCCAGCCTGGCCTTGGACGCTCCCAGGGATGGGGCATCCCCAGCTTCTCTGGGCAACCTGTCCCAGTGCTCCCACCCTCTGCGGGAAGAATTTCTTCCCGATATCTAACCGAAACCTCCCCACTTTCAATTTAAACCCGTGCCTGAACTAATAAAAATAAGGGGACTAGGGAAAAAAAAAGAGTAACTTTTTTTTTACTAGTAAATATGCCTTAATATCTTCTTTACATGAAACTTTCTTTCTTCCTAACCCCCTAGCTATGTTGAAAGTGGCCACCCCCTTTTTATTTCTCTGTAATTCTGAATATACAGCTAAAGAAAGTGGATTCAGAGCTATGATGGACAACATCAGTTATTCTAAGAGTGTCACTGTAGCAATGTGTTGGTTTTGTAAAGTTGTGGGGCTGTTCCTGCACATTCGGTTCTGTTATTTTTGGGTTTGTGAAGAGTGTGTTTCTTTACCCGAGACATCTCTTTTGTTTTCCAGGTAGTGGCTCTAATCCTTTCCAGCATTTGGAGAAGAGTGCTGTGCTTCAGGAGGTATGAATAATCCTCGTGTAATACTGTATAACTCTTCAGGAAGTGTTAGCAGCTTACGGAAGTTTTACAGTGCAACTCTGGGGAAATTTGAATGGCTCGATTTATACAGTTAATTTAAAATCACAGGGTATGTAAATTAAGTGCCAGTGAAGTTACTCTGAGAGGGGTTTATCTATGGTAATTAGATTACATGTGGACATGTGGGATCTCGGGGTGCTCTTTCTGCAGAGGTGACCTGCCTGATTTCCTATGCTCATTCAACGTACCACGTAACGGGTTTTCCTGCTTCTCTTTGTGTACTCCAAGAGCGATTGAAGTGGGTGAGGTGAATGTGGGGAATATTGGTGGGTGCAGAGAGTTACCAGTAGGAACTTCACAATTTCGTATTTGCTCTTCTCGTGAAAAGGAGTGTTTGGGCTACAGATGCCATGGGGAGTATTAAGTGGTTGTGCTTTGGAGTATTTTTGCTAGTTCCAGGTGGTAAGCTGAGTCGTCGTCCTTTGTTCAGATTGCTGCCCATCCAGCAAGCTAAGCATGCATGATCTTGAATAATGGGAATATGCTTGTTTGGATGCATTTTTAGAATGAAAAAAGCCATAAGCTACTTGGTTGAAAGCAAATTGCTGTACTTCTTACGGTGAAAGACAAGTTACCATTGTTGGATTGCACTGTAATGCAGTGTTTGTGTTGTGTTTGTAGGCACGTATCTTTAATGAGACCCCTATAAATCCACGAAGATGCCTGCACATCCTTACCAAGATCCTTTACTTGCTGAACCAGGTAACTATTATCATTTCTTTCCAGCCAGAATGAATATTCCTGAGGCTGATTTCTGATAACTCAGTGTGAAAGGTTTCATACCTCTTCCTGTCAAGATTTGGGAGGTAGCTTTCATGGAGATCAGAAATGGAGTGTTTACGCTGTAGTATTGTGTTATCCCTTCCGGTTTTGTCCCCGAGGTGAGCGAGGAATCTGTCACTGAAGCTTTTCAGACCTTTTTCTGAGTGTCAAGCGAGAGCTGCTGGTTGGTCGGTGATCGCCGCAGCACAGTGCAATTAAACACTGCTTGTGTTTGCCCAATTAAAGTAGGAACAGCTGAGGTGAGGTAAGAACATAGGCCAGGAAAGTGTCTTTTTGTTTGGAAGCACGCTAAGGAGATTTTCTTTAGTCATCCACAAAGGTCAGGTTTCCTGCACGTCAGGCAGTATTTAACGTAGATTTATGATCAGTTAGGAGGAACCTACACTGTTCAGTCGTAGCAGGCACCAGTCATCTTTAAGCAGATCCCTTTAAGCAAGGGGATCCTTCTGGTTAACCAGCATGACGCAAAACCAACTGCTGGCACACGGATGTCAAAAGAGGGAACACAGGCTACGTGTCAAACTATTCCACCGCTGTGGGTGGCATTTCTAGTGAAACCAAGCAGATAGTGGTGCTAAACTTGGCAGGTACTCCCCAGGAGAGACAAGGTGAGGGAGGGACTGTTTCTCACACGAGAAGAAGTCTTTAAAGAAAAGATTCTTCTTGTCTGAGTAGGTATTGTAAGTGGGGGCTGAAAGGTGGAGGCAGCTAGATAATGATAATTTTGATCTTTAAGGTACTTTCCAACCCAAACCATTCTATGATTCTATGACAGTGGGGTTTTTTCCTCTTGTTGCCTTTATGCTATTTTCAGGGTGAACACTTTGGAACCACAGAAGCCACAGAAGCTTTTTTTGCAATGACCAGGTTATTTCAGTCTAACGATGTAAGTACCTGGTGTTTACCACTTGCTGCCTGTCTGGTTTTGTCGGGATTTGCAGTAATTACAAAACAGTTGGATATTGGGATGTGGGAGGAGGGTGAGGCAAGTACTTCAGAGAACAAGCTTTGCACACAAAGTACTTGCTGAAAGCAATTGATGGTTTGGAAACAAATGACTAAGTAATAACATAGGGTTACTTCTGTACGTTGGTTTTGGTGGTGTTTTTTCTGATTTGAATTACTGTTCTAAAGAATGTGAATAATGACAGAAAGCCTTAATATACAAGTCAGTATAAGTCATGGCTGCTTCTTATATTTGCAAATAATCTCCATCTGCTTAACTCAAAATAGAGCTTAAAGGTTAGCTGTAGGTCAAATACTGCAATTCTCTAGAACAACTTGCTCTACTCATGAATCGGGATGGAGTCAAAGGATGAGAACATCCTAAAAATGCTGGATTAAGCTTTGGACTTTGCCCAGTGTAAAGTCCTTCTCCAATCTCTCTTTGCAGAGAGTGTAAGAACTCGGAGGAGAATGCTTCATGTGATGGGTCTCATGAATTTTTGTTAAAAATGAGCTGGCACTTCAGTTTTTTAGAGGTTTGCCTGAGGAAGGCTGCATGTGCAACTGTTTAAAGATGGAATGAAAGTTTTGGAAGCACAGAGTGTTTTGAGACCTTTTTATATTCACATTTTAAAAGGTAGAGGGTTTTCTTGAATGTAAACATGTCATTTGCTTTCAGAGAATTAAAGTGTCAGTGCTCTTTGCATATTTCTATTTTTCTTTTACAATAACAGATCAGAGGAATTTGTTCTTAAAGCTTTTAACTGATAACTCGGAGGCTTCTGCATACAGTTGTGATGTAGCACTCCTTTCATAATTAATATGTGGATTTTTTCTCTTCCCCTGGTTGGTTTGATAACAGGGAGTAAGGCTGTTATTCAGTCATCACATGTGGTTTTACTTGTGTGCTTATAACTTTCTGTAGAAATAGGGAAGGGCGTGTTCTATTTAAAAGTTTATTTAACTTCTAAAGTTATGTAATGTTAAATATTTAACTTTTTAGACTTCTAGGGAGTGTTTATTTATAATTGCCGTTGGGTTGAATGGTTTTCTGCACTACACTTTCACAGCAAACCCTTAGAAGAATGTGTTACCTTACTATCAAAGAGATGGCCAATATTTCTGAGGACGTCATAATTGTCACAAGCAGGTAGTAGAACCTACAGAAAGTACAGTATCAGAGTTCTGAAACAAGTAACTGTATCTCAATGTGTTTAGCTCTTCTGGTTCTCCAATTACGCTTTATAAAGGATACAGCAAAGGAAAACAAGTTGTTCCATGAGACAGAGTATGTGTCACCATGACATGGTAATTTCTGCCTACTGTGTTGTGAGCCTTTTCTAAAAAAGCAAGACACTCGCCTGTAGTTTATCAGTTGGTTGCTACTTTTTCTTGTGTTTCTTTTTTTTAAATTAAACTATTGGTGCTTGATGTTTTTCTGAAAACTTAGGCTGTGACTTCTGTTTCACTTTGCTCTCAGAGCAGTTAGGGAAACGCAGAGCAAAGTTCAGTTCAGTCTGCCAACTGAAGTATCCATCTTTTTGACTACAAAATCGGCGACATAGTTGTTGCGAGTGCAAAAATTGGATCCGTGGCGTGTGCTAAGCAATTGTTTCATTTTATATTTTTTTATAAAGCTCTTTGGCAAATTAAACTTTGCTATTATCTAAACCTATATTTTGTGTGGTAGAAAGAACAGCACTACTAAGAAGGAGAATGACAGAGGTAAATAAACCAGGCCTATGGTAGAGCTGTGTTATGGACTATGCATTTTCTAATGTTCTATATTTCCCTAGAATCGGGTGTTAATAACTTTCAATCAGCTAATGATTAGGAAGTTGTTTCTAGCCAATACTAGAGCTTAGCAGGTATGCAGTAACAGATGGAAGAACAGCTAAATGAGGTGAGGTGAATGTCACAAAAGGACAAAGACTCAAAGATTACAGAAGTGTTACCAGAGTGTCTTTGATTATTGTAGTTTGACCAAAGACATGACAGGGAAGGAAGACGTATACCGAGGCCCAGCCATCAGAGCACTCTGCAGGATCACTGATGTAAGTACAAATCACGTTGCTGTTGTGGGAGAGATGATGAATGCGTTTAAAATAGAAAAAACCACTCTCTTGCAGGGTGTATTCTTGTAGCAGTAATGGAATTGCTGCTTTAGGGAGGAGTGCTCTGCAGCCCTGCGCGGATGTGAGGAACACTGGAGAGCTGTAGCGCTGTAAACCTAGAGTTAAAATGCAGGAGCTCCAGAGCTCTAGTTTCTGAACTGTGATCGTGTCGCTGAACCTTCAGGAGTGGGCAGCTGATACTCACGTCTCCCTTGCAGAATTACATGTTTTCAGAATCAGCTCAAGATTTTTTTCTGAGGGCCTTTTGAATGTGCTGCACATACATTTTGCCTTATACTACTTGTATACTACTCTGCCTCCAGAATATCAACGCTTTTCTTTTTCCCTTTCACAGGGTACGATGTTACAGGCCATTGAGAGGTACATGAAGCAGGCCATTGTGGACAAAGTTCCCAGTGTGTCTAGTTCTGCACTGGTGTCTTCCTTAGTAAGTCAAGCAGTAGATTATTTTAAACCTGTGCGTTGTGTTCTGGCTGGGAAGGCTGGTCTGCTGCATGTGTACCTCTGCCTGGCCTTTGTTTTCTTCTTTTTCATCTTCTCTTCGTTAGATATGACTTTGCTTCATCTCCTCACTGGAGAATAAACAAAGAATGGTAGCACTGGAGTTCCCTTTATCTCAAGCAGACTTTGTCTTCTCAAACTCCTTCCTTAACGTGCTGTTGCTTTATAGTACGTTGGTCGTAGTAACTTAAAAGTGCAAAGTGCTGAGTCATTTTTCGAGGCCGTTAGTGTACAACAGTAATTTCTCTGGGGAGGAGCCTTGTCTGTTTTGAAAAGTCAAGCCTGCTGATGACTCAAAAGTGCTTATCAGTTTGGTGAGAGTAAGCAGAAACAATGTGCTGTGCTGTGGAAGAACTAACACTGATTTAGTGTATGAGTTCTGTAGCAGGAACAAAAAACCAAATCCATGAAATTGCTGCCCTGGTAGGACTGCAGCAGGTTTTGCTAATATGAAGTAGGGCTAGATGTGGATATTGACTCTGGTTTTCTGTCCCCTGCTTAGGAAAAAAGGCTGGAAAAGATCTTGCTATGTTAATATTTTAATTAAAAGAGGAGAATACAAGTGTAACGTGAGACTGAGACTTAAGAAAAACAGTTGTTTGTAGGTGCATAGGATAAAGAGACTGACTGCGTTGGTAAATCAGGAGTTAAGAGCTGATGAGGTGGAGTAGAGCCTGTTGTAGGACCCTGACGGTGCAAACAAAGCTGTATTAATACTGACAACTGAAGGCAACCTGCAGGACTAACCAGAGGCAGGTGAATTTGTCTTCTGCCCTGTTTGAACATAACCAAAATGGATTTTCTTTCCTCTTTATTGAAACAAGCGCATCCATGCTAACTACGTGTTTGGGAGTTATTTGTTAGCTGTAGAATGCAGCAAAGCTCTAGATTTGTCTCAAAGGCTTGAAACTTAAAAACTGAAATCAAGACTCACGGTACTTCACTGTGCTCCTAATGCTAGCCTGTCTGCAGTCTCAATTTGTGGCTTCTTCCAGCATATGATGAAGATCAGTTACGACGTAGTCAAGCGGTGGATCAACGAAGCTCAAGAAGCAGCTTCTAGTGACAACATCATGGTGCAGGTATGTTTGAGGGTGGTTGCTCCAGGAAGCTCTAAACACACTACAGCGTTCTAATGGTATTTTGGGAGTTCTTAAGATAACCTTAGAGAAAGTAACTGGTTTTCCTTTTTCCCTTTTTTTTTTTTTTTTTAAAAAAAACCAAGAATTGTGACTTGAAGGAAACGAGTTTCTCTGTGACCCCAGTGCAAGATTCTTAATTCATTGCAGTCCTCTGCCCTTTCCCTGCCAATCTTCTGATAGCTGGGATGCCTCTGACTGTTTCACAGTAGTCGTTACCGGCTTTTTGCAGTTTTCACAAAGTTTAAGAAGTTATCTCACTGCCTCCCAGAACACCAGCGCCTTTAGTCTTGGCGTTCAGAAAATTGCCCTGTGAAAGTCTGTAAAATCAGCTTTGTTCTTGCCTGGTTAGCAGCTTCATTCAGCCTCACTGTGAATCGCTCTTGTGGCAAAAAACAACCCCAACCCAAAACAACCTGGCAAGCAACTAGAAATGTGCCTTTGTACGTTCACCTTAAATGCCTCAAGGATTTTTTGTAAGCTCGACTGTCGTTTAAAGGCTTTGGTATATCCTGGATATTGAATGGACTAGAAATGTAGGTGTTACTGTGCAGTACAATTTCATAAGCTGAAGCCTTTGAAGGTCTGGCATTTGATGAGGAGAAAAGTGAGTAAACTAACTTCATGGCTCTTTTGATCTTCAGAAATATGTTGGGACTGTCTTGTGGGTGGACAGGAAGGGGAAAGAAGTACTGCAGATGCTTGTAACTTGTCAGGAGACTTGGATCTTTTGAGGTTAGGAAGTATTTCTGCTAGGAAATGGCAGTTATTAGCTCTCATGCCTCACATTCTGACTGCAGTGTGCATTCAATACCTGCTCTTCTCTCTTCCTCATCTCCTAGTATCATGCTTTGGGGCTGCTCTATCACCTTAGAAAAAATGATCGCCTCGCGGTTTCCAAGATGTTAAATAAGTTCACTAAATCCGGACTGAAATCCCAGTTTGCGTACTGCATGCTGATCCGAATTGCCAGCAAACTCTTGAAGGAATCTGAAGAAGGGTAAGAGTCAGCATGTGAATTGCAAAACTAAGTGTAGTTTGAGGTAAACAGCGGCTGTGAAAGTTGCTTTTTTTATTTTTTTTTAAAGTTTGTGGAAGTTCACACACAGAATTGTTGTGGTAAAAATAAGACAGGTAGAGGAATGCTGGTGTTGTGGTAAAAATAAGACAGGTAGGAGAGGAATGCTGCGCTGAACTGAGTGTGAGGATGTGTGGCAGTTGTGGAGTGGGGTTTGGCTGTGTGGTTTTCATTATTTTAGCACCATACCACCAAAACTCAGCTGAGAGCAGGATTTAAATTACCGAATAATCTCTGGAGAGGTCGAGTGTTTTGTACTTTTGTCTGGCTAGATGTGTTTCAAAAGCAGTAAGGATCTACCTGTGTCGTGGGGATATAAAGACAAGGATCTCTCTCGCTCTGCTCTCGTGCTGGCAGAGGGAGGGTACAGTTGCCTGAGAAATTTGCCTCCTGATGAAATCCTTTTATCAGTGGAATTGTTGTTAGTGGTGTGCGACATGATTAATAGTAAAGTGTTTATTTCTAGGAGTTTTAGCTTGAAGAAGATAACGGAAAGGTGTCTAGAATAACAGCAGATGGAGAGTTTAGAGCTCAAGTAGGAGTTGAGCAATATGGCAGTGTAGGAAACAAAGCTGTGCGTTCCTTCCAGCACGCAGAAATGCGTTACTGGTGATCTGTGTGTAATTCAGCCATCCCACTGTGAAATGTCTTCTCTTTGCAGCCATGAAAGCCCACTGTTTGACTTCATTGAGAGCTGCCTGCGGAATAAGCACGAAATGGTTATTTACGAAGCTGCTTCTGCAATCATCCATCTCCCAAACTGCACAGCCAGGGAGCTGGCTCCGGCTGTTTCAGGTTGGTCAGGGAGTCCTTCGTACCGCTGATGCAGCTGAAAGAAAGGGTGGTAAAGCATGTCAGAGGCAGTACAGCGTAACTAAAATACGGGACTCAAACCCTGAATTTTTTGATTGTCCCCAAGTTAGAGTGATTTTGGGTGAGCAGCAGCTTGATCCCTTCTTGCTGTTTCATCCAAAGCTTTAGAGAACACGCAGTAGCAGGAGCACAGGCTGATACTAGCCTTTTCCCAGCTGCAGGAAGTTGGGGTGGGAGGGAAGGTAGATGAGAACTTCATAGCACAGAAGTGCCACGAATGACTACATAAACCGCCTGTTATTGATATAAAATATAAAACGGGAGGTTATTTTTAACTTGATTGTGATAAATTATGAATGAATGTTCATCAGCACATAGTTTAATGTGCGTACATTAGACTTTCTATTCCCTTTCTTTGAAAGCTACCATATCTGTTTTTCTGCTGTGGCGAATTCTGAGCTATTTGCACCTCTTAATATCAAAGTGTGACGCAAAGCAATTTCCCTTTCCTCATCTGATACGGCATTGAGGGCTCTTGCTTTCTGCTTCCCAGACTTTACAGGCGCCTGGAGTTGCAGTACTGCAAGATGGGTTTTGTTAAACAGTCTCTACTCTGTAACACTTTGTTGTGAGATACTTACCTTGATTTTTTTGTTGTTGTTATTTTCAGTGTTGCAGCTTTTCTGTAGTTCTCCCAAACCTGTCTTGAGATACGCAGCTGTACGGACCCTTAATAAAGTGAGTGCTTCCAAAACCTCTACACAAGCATAAATCTCTGAGCATCAGAGGAAGCCAGACTTCAGTGCCTGATGATGTGTTACCTCAAGTAGTGCAACTGCTCTTGTGATTACTGTATTTGGAAATACTTCATGTTTGAGAATTGGCTTTTCCATGCCAAATCTCCTGGTGTGACAGAAATCTTTTCTGCATTCAAGCTATGTTTGCTTATTTCTGGACCACAGGGCTGTACAAGGTGTTGTTTGGTAACTTGTGAGTCCTCAGCTCTAAGGAAGCAGTCTCAGATGTTTAATACTGCAAAAGGTGTGAATAGGATGTGTGCGAAGGAAATAACATTCTGATTTCAGAGCCACATGCGGCAACAGAAGCAGTTTGTGACTGTCAAAGCCATGAGCTGGAACTCCGAGTTCATTTGAAATGCTGATACAAAAGAACCTGAGCTTTGATTGCATCTTGCCAGCAGTCATGTGATGTAGGCTTAGGTGCAATCAGAAGCTTTGAATTGTAGGATGTTATTGCTCCCATGTAATTTGGAATTGCATTCTTTACAGGTGGCCATGAAGCATCCATCTGCAGTCACTGCCTGCAACCTGGACCTGGAAAACCTCATCACTGACTCCAACCGCAGTATCGCTACCCTCGCCATCACCACCCTGCTGAAGACAGGCAGTGAGAGCAGTGTAGACAGGCTCATGAAACAGATCTCTTCCTTCGTGTCAGAAATATCAGATGAGTTTAAGGTGTGGCATTGGAGGCCTCTGCTCTTTCCAGCTGCAGGTTTTTCTCCCATTCTTGTTCTTCTGAAGCTTTTCCCATTTGTTAATCCTTTAGTGACTTAGGCTGATAGAGCAAAGCCAGCTTGAAATTGAGAAGGTATAGTCTTGCTTTCCAACTTGAATATACCCTGTTGTTTCCTCTCACTGCTCCAAGAAAGGATAAGTGTTGTTTGGTGGATTCCTGGCTCCTGTGCAGTATCTTTCAAAGCCTTCTACTACCTTCTGGTTGCCTCTTTGGAGAGGAAGAGGGATTTTAGCTGTTCTGATTGAGTCTGTATCACTACAGTGTGTTAGGAAATAGTGTGAACTGTAAGTTTCTACCTAACTTTTAAAGTTTATAGTACCTAAACTCTGATAATAACTTGGTTCAGGATGGCACAAGTTCACCTGTACCCATCCCTTTTACATCATGAAGCTGCCTTGAGCATAGCACGTCTCTACGCAGTCAACTTGCTAGTCTATAGTGGTCTTGTTTTTATGAGAAAATAAGTATTAGGTAAGTTTGAAATTGCAAAGAGCTTTAAATGTTACTGTTAGAATTAGGTCGGGATCATCACTGGGCAGGAGGAGGGAGGGGAGGCTTTGGAATTGATGCTCAGAGGGCTGGAGCACCTCTCTTATGAAGAAAAGCTGAGAGAATTGGGCTTGTTCAGCCTGGAGAAGAGAAGGCTCCGGGGAGACCTCATTGCAGCCTTCCAGTACCTGAAGGGGCTACAAGGAAGCTGGGGGGGACTTTTTACAAGGGCCTGTAGTGACAGGACAAGGGGTAAGGGGTTTAAGTTGAAAGTGGGTGTATTTAGATTGAATATAAGGAAAAAGTTTTTTATAGAGAGGGTGGTGAGGCACTGGGACAGGTTGCCCAGAGAAGCTGTGGATGCCCCATCCCTGCAAGTGTCCAAGGCCAGGCTGGATGAGGCTTGGAGCAACCTGGGCTATGGAAGGTGTCCCTGCCCATGGCAGGGGGGTTGGAACTGGATGATCTTTAAGGTCCCTTCCCACCCAAACCATTCTATGACTCTATGAATCAATATGGTCCATCCTAAGTACACTCCCTGTAGCAGGGCCAGGTCTTGCAGCATGCTAGCGCAGGGTTGTTAACACACTCATGCCTGGAGTCCATCACCTGATTCTACCCTTGTACATTAATGTATCAAGGTGACAACTTGAGATAGCAAGAAGCCTGTTTTTATCACAGAGAATGAAATGCACATGACTAATATCCTTCTCTGTTTTGCAGGTAGTGGTAGTACAGGCGATCAGTGCTTTGTGCCAGAAGTACCCTCGGAAACACAGCGTCATGATGACCTTCCTCTCCAATATGCTCAGAGATGACGTATGTGTGAAACTTTCTTTGTGTCGTTACGGGCAGGTAGCTCAGATGGTATGAAGGGTCTCTTCTATCTTACATCCATGGGTGCACAGCAGTGATGGGGCCTGACTGATTACCAAGACCTTGTTTATCTTGTGGGTCAGACCTGTCTGAAATATGCTGATGAATTAGAGCTGGTAGGTCAAAAACTGATCTGAAGAGATGCTCAGATATGTCTGTATGAATCAGGGGGGGCTGCAAAGACCCTATTAGGTCATCCAGCACACCTTTATGTAAAAATGCTTGTTTCTCTCAATGGAAAGAAGTAATTGAAGCGTGAGAGGAGCTGAGCAGCACTGTGGTCTGGGCTCTGTCTGCTGGGTCAGTGTCCTTGATTTTCCTTTCCCAGGGTGGCTTTGAATACAAGCGAGCCATTGTGGACTGTATAATCAGCATCATTGAGGAGAATCCCGAGAGTAAGGAATCGGGCTTGGCTCACCTCTGCGAGTTCATTGAGGACTGCGAACACACTGTCCTAGCCACAAAGATCCTGCATCTGCTGGGGAAAGAGGGGCCAAGGACTCCGTCCCCATCCAAGTACATCCGCTTCATATTCAACAGGGTGGTGCTGGAGAACGAGGCCGTGAGGGCTGGTAAGTTCAGCTCAAATGCTTGACAGTTTCATATCTGAGCTCTGCTAGAAATATCAGGGCAAAAACTGGGTTTGGGGGTGGGAGGCAATGGTTACTCCACAGGTACCATCAGCTGTGAGGGTGATTTTTATCCTGCACTGTGTTAAAACTCCTTATATCATCTTAGCATCAGCACTTTGTCGTCCTGTGTTGCAGAACGTAAGCAATATATTGGCTTCTAGTTCTTCCTTTGAATGTCTGTCAAAAATCGAGTGGTATTACATAAGGAGTGGATGCTGCTGCTTCTCTAAGAAGCACAATTGTCTGCTATAGACTATTATCTTTTAATATGGAAATCTCCCTTCCACAAGATAAGGATTTCTCCTCGGAAGCGTGTTGCTGACTGTTAATTCCTTCCTGTGGAGCCTTTACAACAAACCCATTGGAGTGTTCAGCCTCTTTTCACACTTGGGACTTGGCATTGGAGGGATATCGGCATCAGCATGGTCTCTTGCCTGTTAGAAGAGGAAGTACTACTGGGAGGGAGGAAGGAAAATGAGCTCACAAATACATTTGAGTTTTGGTGACAGCTCTTTTGTTCAGTTTCCTAATTGTGACCTGGTAACACATGAAAAACATCCACCAGGGAGCATACACTGTCTAGAAACTTCATCATTGTGAAAATACGGATTGTTTTTTTAACCACTAAGGCCATAAACCTCATACTTATGGAGCTTTCTCTTTCTGTATGTGGAAGTTCTTCAAGCCGATGCTGAGCTGAAATTAGATTAAGTTTGGCCAGACAGCTCAAAGTGGTTGCTGTGGGGTTTTAGCTCCTTGCAAAATCACTGGCTGCGTGTCACCTCTGTGTGTGAAAACCAGATTTATCAAAGGGTGTGAGCTACAGCTAATGACAAAGCGGCCAACAACTGGAATGAGCTGGGGAGCTTGAACTAACCTTATCTGTTAGAGAGTTCTCTCAGAACAGAGTTTTTCAGGGCTGTTAAGCTGACCTTCTGTTATTCCCTGGCACAAAACTGTGTGGACCTGTAGGAGCGAGTCCAGAAGAGGCCCTGGAGATGCTCCGAGGGCTGGAGCCCCTCTGCCCTGGGGACAGGCTGGGGGAGTTGGGGGGTTCAGCCTGGAGAAGGGAAGCTCCGGGGAGACCTTATAGCACCTTCCAGTGCCGGAAGGGGGCTTATAAGAAAGATGTGGGGGACACTTCTTACAGGGCCTGTAGCAGTAGGACAAGGAATAATGGTTTTAAACTAAGTGTGTGGATTTAGACTAGATCTAAGGAAGAAATTTCTTACAATGACAGTGGGGAGACCCTGGCACAGGTTGCCCAGAGAAGGTATGGATGCTCCATCCCTGGAAACATTAAAGGCTCTGGGTGAGGCTTTTAGCAACCTGGTGTAGTTGAAGATGTCCCCACCCATTGCAGAGGGGTTGGACTAGGTGACTTTTAAAGGTCCCTTCCAACCCAAACTAAGCTATGATCCTATTTCCCTCTGAAACTATGGAAATAGTTTAGTCTTTCCATAACACTAAAAGGTTTATGGTGTGGGAGTAAAGAGCTGTGTAAGTTGGAACTTCAGGACAGCAGTACACACGGTGCTTTGAATCGTGACTGTGGGGACGTTGAGCACCTCTGACATCTCCCTGTTTTCTTCTCCAGCTGCTGTAAGCGCGCTAGCAAAGTTTGGTGCCCAGAATGAGAATCTTCTTCCCAGCATCCTGGTGCTTTTGCAGAGGTGAGTGGATGTGGCTGTGCATCTGCTGAGCCTTGTTCACGGCACTGGGCTGTCTGACTCCACGGAAGCAGTGAGGTCAGACCAGGTCAGAACTTGGCTCTGGGGTTGTCACCACATGCCAGTAGAGGAACTGGGAGATGGCTCTCTTCCACCTTTCATCCCTGGCTGGGGGGAGCATAGCTTTGCCAGAGATGACCAAATAAAAGATGTGATGAGCCATGAAAACATCTGATAAGTAATCTGGTCTGAGAACATTCCTCCGTGGGTAATAAATCCACAGTGATTTAGTACACGTGTACATTTTTTGCATCCCTTGAAGCAAGAAAATATATTTCCCCATTACTTGTAAATCAACTTCTGTATACGGCTGAGTAGTGATTTGGGCGTTCCCATTTCACAGGTTCGTGTCTCTCGTAAGTCCCTTCATCCTCCTTAAACTGGTGCACTATAAACATTCTTTGTTTGTATAGCATAAATCCGTGCCATGTCTGGCTTCTGTGGGGTGAGGTGTGATTCAGGTTGTGAAGTGCTTCAGGCAGAAGGCAACCTCAGTGTAGGTGTAACTGCAAGGAGTGACTTGAGCACTGTGGGCAGATTGCCAGGAGGGAGAGGGAAATCTCTCTTTAAAAACCACCTGCTAATTGATGTAATTGAAAATGTAGGTGAATACTTGAGCATGCAGCCTTTTTTACAGGATGAAATAGAAAGCAGCTTGAACATGTTTATTTTTGTCACCTACCTATTTCTTCTGCTTTTGTTCTGTTGTGAAAGAATGCTGTTAAAAAAGGAAGAAGAAAAACCCATGCAACTGTAAGGTGCCTAGTAGAATTATTAGCCATAAAATCCTAGAATCATGGAATGGTT